TTGGGGTTACGGTTTAGGGCTCTATCTGAGAGAAGCCTGCTGCAAAAAGGGTTCAGTATCTCGGGTTTTGGGATGTAAAAGGCTGGGGATAGGACGTTTTGGGCATAAGGCGGGGAGTTTCGATCTCTGTCAGAGACTCCCAGAATTCTGCATGGGGGATCGGTTTCGGGTCAACCGCTCCCTTTGAGAGTGCTGTGAATATGCAGTGGTGCACATCCCCATCTCCAGAGTCTGGCAGAAGTAAGAACTTTAGGACGGATTTCGGTCTTCCCGTTAAGGCTCGCATGCATGTTTTCTAAATGAGCAGTACCTTTTCGATCCTCGAGGGAGCGTCTGACTCTCATCAGTGGGACCCTAATCGGACGAAATCTTCCATCCCCAAACCCCAAACCTTGTCAAACGCACGGCGCTGCAGCATTTCTAAAATTTGTGGTCGAGTCATTGCTGTAGCGATCCCACGTGGGCTCTCTTGGTGGCGGCCTCTCGTTTGTCTGGGGTTTTTGTTTTTGGGCTTCCGGTTTGGGGTGTCGCTTTTTTGCTTGAGGCTTTGGTCAGGTTTGAGGTCTACGGAGAAGGGAGCACATCAGCGCGACAACGCTAGTGCAGATGTTTCAGGAGCGTGAGTTTATTGGGTGTAGGGCTTGCCCGGGAGCAGTCTTGTGCAACGAGGTTGAACAGCAACCGTTGTCGCCACTTGGACATGGGAGTTTCCGGAAATTGGGGTACCCTAATTTGGGGCCCTTATAGTAAGGATCCTACTATTTGGGGTACTATATTGGGGTTCCCCATTTTCGGAAACCCCCACATGGGAGTTTCGTGATCTGCACGAGGTGGTCGCACAGCTTGTGCCGTCTGAGCAGCCGCGAACTCCTGTCGAAGCTGGGCGGCAGGCTTTACATTCGCGGCCCTGCTTGGTTTCGGGCTCCCTTCCTCTATGGTGATCCCTTTAGCCCTACCCGAAACTTCAAACTCAAAATCCTCAGCCCCAAACCACAACCGCTGCAACCTATACCCCAGAGACCCTCCAAGCAAGACCGATGGCAAAGGGCCCGAAAGCAAACCCCAAGCCCGAAAGTTGAACCTCAACGCTGAACCCTAAAACCAACAACTTACAGCTCCACACACTGCACCGTCAAAATACGCCCTCAAGTCGAAGCCCTCAGTGCTATGTTCACAGCAGATCCGCTAAAGGATCTGTTAAAGGAACCCTTTCAGCACACTTGCAAGGAACCCTCAAGGGATGTAGGGTTGCAATCCTCACTTGGGGAAACAAGGTATGTTTCATCTTCCGTTTCTGTTTCCATTTTGTTTCCGTTTTGTCTTCCGCTTCTCCAGGGTCTTCCGTTTTCGCTTCCGTTTCGTTTTCAACTTTATCGGTTCCGTTCGTGTCTCCATTCGGGTTCCTGTGTCGAGTTCGCTTCCGTTCAGCTTTGCGTTTTTGCTTGTAGTGTCTTCCACTTCTTTGCAGGAGGGTAAACCGTGCTGACGCTGCGGTGCATTTTGTGGTTTGCCAGCACACCCACGCCTTACCTCCGCCATCACCCGTCTTTCCCCACCCGGCCCATTGACCCTGGGTGTGGCTCGGGCGGGTTCCGAAACCGACGCCTGAACGCGAACCGGAACCGAAACGGATTCTGAAACCGGAACCTGGAACCCGAAATGGCAGCCCAAACGGCAAGCCCGGCAGCACCAGAAACCAAACCGGAAGCGGTTACCGCTAAATCCAGGGCGTGTCTAAAGGTTCCACTAAGGGCTCCTTGAAGGGACCTCGGACCTCGGGTTTGTCTAAGGCTGCCCGAAAAGGTTCCATCCAGGGTTCCTTTGAACGGAATCCAGAAGTCCTCTTGGGGTTTTACGGCTTAGGGTTTAGGGATTTAGGGTCCATGCTGCGCTGGAAACATATGCCGAGGAAGCCACCAGCGATGCTTACGAAGCTCAGATCCAGTGCCTCGGAACAGGTCATTTCATGAGGAGTGCTATTTTGGGGCTTCCATACTGTATGTCCTAGGCCCTAGCCACCATATCTTTGCATAAAGGAGTATACGGACCAATGTCTAAGGATGCATAGGCATATGTCGTCCTTTATTTCGCTTTTCGTCGACAGGCTTTCGGAGCCCACATCACCCAAACAATCTTACCATAGTCAGTTAGGCCCCCTGTATTCAAGATTTTTGGCCCAGGGCTTTGAGGGAGTGATGCAAGAGCTTTCAGGGTCTCGAGGCCGATCGCCACCTTCAGCTTTCCAGCTATTCTTAAGGCCCCAGTAGTGTTCGACTCTCTGAGTTTGCCAGGAAGGCGTGCCTCATGCGCCGCCTGCAGTCACCGCACGCGGCAGCTCGCATTGAACTGGCGTCGAAAGAAAGCGGTAGGGTTCAGGGTTCAGGGTCAGATGACACTTTCCCCGGCCGACTTCCCAAACCCGGATGCGAAAAAGGGTAAGCTTTCAGCAAAGTGAACTTCAGAAGGATTAGTCACAGCATGTTACAGCGTTGGACAAGTCACCAGAAAAAGTGCACACATGCGCACTCTACTGCCGGAGGTCGACGTAACCCCCCATCTAAAAACGAGAAGGAACAGCAGCAGTACTGTAGCAGCAGTAGCAGTGGTGGTGGCAGTAGCTCATTCCCAGGGTGACGGCTTGTTGGCTCTGCACCTCGGACAGACACCTTCCCCCTACAAGGCTTTCCGGAGCAATTGCTCTCACCAAGACCCAGACTCTAGACTCTCAGGGCTCTCAGGGACTTCCCAAAAAAAATTCAGCCAACTTCAAACCCCAAACTCAGACATCTACCGAAATTCTGAACCTTACGCCCTAGTTCAGTCAGACTGGCAAACCTCGGCCCTGAACCCTCACCTCCCTGTGCCCCGAACTTCCCGGCCACTTGAACCCAGACCACCGGAAGGATCTAAAAAAATAGATCCCCTGAAAAAAAGTTCCTTGAAAGTACCCTTTAGCAGAATAGGGCCCCAAAGTAAGGGATCTCTACTTTTTTTAGCTCCTTCCCATAGTCCGGGTAAGGAGCCACTGCAATTACTGGACGAGAGCCTGGCCTTCTCTGCCGGCCGCCTCTGTGAGGTCTTTGGGTTTAGGGTTTAGGGTTTAGGATTTAGGGTTTAGGGTTTAGGGTTTAGGGGTTGTGTCTATAAAAAAGGAGGCCCATCAGTCTATCATCCAGTCTCCCTCTCTCTCTCTCTCTCTCTCTCTCTCTCTATATATATATATGTATATGTATATGTATGTACACATATTTCCATTTTGATAAGTTAGCATAAGCTCCTTGAACAGCATCCCAGTTTCATACGATTGAGAAGATGCTGCAGGGGCCTTCGGCAACCCTACTTGTGACCTCATCCTGGGTAGGTTCGTAGACGGTTCGGGCTTTTGTGGGCATATGTCACGCGAGCAGCTCCCTCAATCAAGCCTACTTCACACAACGATGTACTGCAAAGCCCACGTTGGGTAGCTTCGGAACGCTGAGCAGCCCTGGCTGAAGTCAGTAGTCGCTTACTTCGTAGATAGCAGCCCCGAATACTCTCTTAGTTGAGCGAGTGCAGTGTATGCTTTTTGGATGCTATTATCCCCTTTAGAACTGTAAGTTCATTTTTGGTGCTTATGAACTCAGCGACTAAGTGCTGCCACCTTGCCAAGAAGGTAGGGGCCAGCACGCAAGGCCGGGTACAGCGCACTCAAACTTACCCAATAAGACAAAAGAGCCAAGCCAAAATTGATAGACATCACTGACAAGAATGAAGTGATCGTGCTCTAACACATGAAATCAGCATGAAGGTAGCATTGACAGAAAAAAGAGATCATAACCCATTAGTCATCATAAACGGTTGTCTCAGGGAAGCCAGGTGAAAGAGCATGATGGTAAAAGACCACAGCCTCGAACGCTGAAAGAGGAGTGACCTACGAACTGTTCTCGCACGGGCACCGACAGCATCCTACATCCTACATCCTTGCGCCTAAGCCTCAAGCCGCAAGCTCACATCCGAACCCCACACCCAGCCCTCCCAAACCCAAGGACACAACGCCCAGATAGCTATTAAGAAACACGCCTTGTTGAAGTTCTTGTCGTTTTTGAGTGTCTGGGTGGTGCATTTGCAAGCGGAGAATGCTCGGCCTTAAACCGCGTTGCCGAGAGGACAGCCGCTGGCAAGAGCAGATCCATCGCGACGCCTTGGCTACGGTGGAGGCTTTACTCTTGGTGCCACAGCCGAAAATGTGCAGAGTCCGTGTTCGAGGATAAGATCTTTCGAATCTACAGCACGTTTGCTTGTTAAGTCGTAACGTTTCAGCCCAGTAAGGAGCGCGAGCGCCTCCGCTTGATGCGGATGCCTGCTTCAGGCCCGCGGGAGAGGGTATCGTGGGAAGCTCAGCCAAAGCCTGTCAACAAAACGGTATGATGATTTTTTGACAGGGAAGGGGCATGCAGCTGAAAAGCAAGCAATGGGTATACTTTTGAGGCCAGGTATTGTTCCAGATCATGCACGAGAGTATACCTGATACCTAATCCCCTAAACGCTAAACTCTAATCCATATAAGCCATTAATAATGCAATAAACCCTGCAATTCAAGTCTAAACCCTATAACCCAAAGCCTAAACCCAAAAACCAGGTGTGGCGGACTCATTGGCGCGGGCAGAAGATCTTTGCCGAGCGCTCTCCGATGAGGTCGAGGAAAATCAGGTCGGAGTATTTCTGCTACCTATCTCGGCTCTGATACTGCTACGACAACAGCAAAACTTTTTGGCTGAAGCTTTGGTTCAAGATCGGCCCATTTACGCTTTAAGCAGATGTTTAACATTGAGGGCTGTCAACATGGGTTTGGCAGCTAAACAAAGTCGCAGTTCCTAGCCGCACTTGTGACGTCTTGTGCAGCAATGACGCCGAGCACACACAGCCGACAATAAAGGTTCAGAGTTGCGAATTTTCTTGTGGGCTTTGTCTCGAGGTTGTAAGTCATACGCTTTCATTCCGGGCTTACGGGTACTATCGCTATGTACACCGTCCGCTTGCTACAGCTCTCTGGATCGTCCTTCACAGAATTCGAGCTTGCACCTTCTGCCTGCATCGGTGAGGTGCTGCAAAGGGCTCGTGGTTCCCTCGGATGCGACCCAAAAACTCGGCTGCAGCTGCTTTTCGAAGATCGGCCGCTAGAAACGCAGGAGACGCTGGTCTCCCTGGGCCTACCGGGCCCTCCCTTTCAGGTGGATCTGCAGCTCCTGCAACTGCAACAGCCTACGCTTGTTGAGCGCATTGACATGCAGACCTCTGACTTCCAGCGAGTTGATATTGGCATTTGCGGGCAGCGTGGGGCTGGCAAAACAAGCTTCTTGAACCAGTATGTGGATCACCGTTTCCATGCCGAGCGCTTTCAGAGCGTCATTTCCGTGGACTTCAGGGTTGCGAACCTCCGGGTCGCGAAGGATGACTCTGAGAACATGGTTCCCGTGAAGCTTCTCCTCTGGGACCTACATGGAATTCACAACGCTTCGAATCCTGTGCTGCATCCTAGCATGTTCCGGCGCAAGGCTGCCATAATCTTCGTGGCGGACCTGGAGAGACTGCATCTTTATGAGATTCAGAGCTTGCTCGACTTGTCCGCATCGGAAGCTGTCTCGGAGAGAGTCTTGGTCGGCAACAAGGCGGATGTCGCTAAACCTGGGGCCACTGAAGCGGTCGAGGCTTTCGCTGCGAAAAGGGGCCTGTGGTACTTCGAGGCCTCTGCCAAAGATCACGAGAGTGTAGAAGCGGTTCTTCGGCACACGCTGCTTTCTGTGATGGACAAGCTGGAGCTCAATCTGACCCCTTTTCGCAGAGACCGCGTACTTGCCCCAGACCCACCGCCAGAGCGGTCGCGCTGCGCCTTGCAATAGCCTTGAGCTACAAGCGCAGCCACGAGGTTTTATGCAGAGATGAGCCGCAAGTTGCCAAAGTACATAGTTGTTTGCATCGACGGGCTTCGGACTCTTTACATGTGAATGATAGGTGTCGGTGCTGAACTGATGGGATGTTCTGGTCGGACCGTGTCTTCGGCTTGCTTTGAGACAGGGGCAGTTGCACCGAACGTGATAGCAAACCTTAGGCCTACACAAGCCTAATCCCTTTTGCAGCAGGGCCTCCCATCGGCGTGTACCCGAGACCCCAAGCATTACTTTACTGGGGGCTTGTTGTTCTCGCGTTTCCCATGCCTCGTCATGTCCGCTTTATTTCGCCCAAGATGTTGGCATGTGTTTCAGGACACCGACTTCCGACCACATGCCTCGCCTGGATTGTCCGAGTGTGAGCGCCGAAACTCTAAATCCTATTACCTGGCCCTCAGTCCCTAAGCATTAGATCCTAAACCCAAATCCCTAAGCCCTTGTCTCCAAAGCTGAACGGAGGTGGGCGTGAAGCAGGTCGACAGCACCCCGGCAGCTGCCAAAGTCAGCAGCCGCCGGCCATCGTTTCAGGGGCAGGTGCCATCCGAGGCTCTCTTGTAGCTGGGGCAGTGCTTGAGTCTGGGCTCTAGCCGGCTGTTGCGTTGAACTAGGTATACGAAAGCCCAGTTGAACCCACCTCCTACATGCCTTCTTGCCAGGTTGCTGCTTCAAACAGCTTCTACACGAGGTCTGCGCAGGATGTCGAGAAGACACCTCGTACTCACAACGCCCGAGAAGTGGTCGGCAGCTCCTGGTCTCAACCACGATCAAAATTATCAGCATTATTATAAGTTGTTCTTTGTAACCTATAGTTATTATTGGGTTATTATGGTGATGAAGGTTATCATATTCAGTAGTAATATTGTTAATGTTATTCTTATTATGTTTACGTGAACTTGAGGGTGGGCTGGGTGGTCGTGGATGAAAGGACGTGCATGTTCCCATTCGCAGCTGCACTAGACTAGACTCGACTTGTTGTGTCAGCAGTTGCATGGACTAGCTGACCATGGTTTTGGAGGGGAAAAAACATACACCAGCGAAGCCGCCGTCCGAAAACGCATCCTTCTTTTGGCAGGAATGCAGTGCAATGGGCAGGTTTTTGGCAGCCTCACGCCGATCCTGTCCTACTTTTCCACTTGTAGGCGCATGGGCCTGGGGTCACAGAGACTGTTGTCACCTCTAAGGTGATCGCACTCCACCACGGAGGCCAAGTCCCCCACTCCTGCGACCTAGAACCTCGGGTGAAGCTTAGGGCCTAAGGCTGGAGGTGTTACGGTTTAGGGCTGCTAGTGTTCCGGCTGACACCCAGACCCCAGCTGCAAAAGGGCTTAGTGTTCAGAATTTGAGGGCTTGCGGTTGCATCGGTTTGGCCGCAGCCCGCTTTCCACTGAAATTGCATGGGAAAGTCACTGCTAAGTAGCTTCTACAAGGAGTAGCTAGCTGTCCATTTCATGTCATCGTCACGGTGTGTATTCCACTGTGACTGGAGAGAATTCAAAAGCCAGCTGAGGTTTGTTTAGGTTGGGTGGGGGAGTACCTGCACCATGTCTGGTGGGCCGCACGTATGCAAGGCACATCATCACATCAACCTAGCAATGTCTAGAAGTTTGAACTTGTAACACTATTCCTGAAGGTTCCGTCCTATTTAAACTACCTCCAAAAGTCTACACTACTTGTTAAGGTCCCCTTGTTCGCCTCTTGCCTGCGGTCTTCGACCCCTATTCATTCTGGGTGCTTGCTGAGGGGTTTAATTTGAGGTAGCATAATAGGGTTCTATAGTAAACAATACTTTACGGTTTCCTGTTCAACATTGTGGTAGCTTGACTTAACCTCCTCAACAAGAGCCTGGTATTGGCAAGAGGCTGAAAGTGAAAGGCCGACCCACAGCCCGACACCCCATGAGCCTCAGTAGGGGCACTCCAGGCGACATAAGCCCGATAGTAGTATGAAGTACGACAGGATAGGTAGTAGACTTCGACTGCAATATAGATAAGACGCTACACATGTAATAAGATACACGTTTGAAAGTAAAGCAAGATGTTAACATGGTGACTGACAACTTGCTTGCCAGTGCCGAGTCCCGGACACTTTAGGCTATCCTCGCCAAAAACAGCATCTCAGGAACTGTTTCCAGCCCTGTGCAAGCACCGGCTGCCATGAAGCCGCAAAGCCGCAACCGTTTTAGGAAAGTTTAGGTGTCTCGGCTTTAGGGGCCTAGGGGCCCGAAACCTCCAGAGTTCATGGATCGTGTCAAGACCGAAAGTGTGGCAAATTTTGGAGCCAGTGAAAAGGAGCAGTATCGAGTAAGCTGCAAATCCCCTTATTCGAATGGCCGGGGCTTGTCCTAGCTAGGTGGGAGGCACAAAAACAGCTGCTGTTGGACACCGCAGTCGCTTTTTTGAAGGAGGGCCCTCCACGAGTGTTTCTAGGCTTTAGATGTAATGTTGAGGGTTTCGGGCTCGTGGCAGACCCCTTCGACATTGTCGATTGCATGTCTAATAAATTCATAAACCGGGCACCTCTGCCCGAACCTCGCCTGACATGTCCCAGCCTGAGTGCCGGAACCCGTAAGCTATCTAACAGCAAACTCCATAATCTTCTGCTTTCTTCTGCTTCTGTGACAGAGGCAGGGGCCCACATGGCGGCAGCGGCTGAACTCTCAGCCAGCGCTGCTCGGATTCTTTCGCTTTGCTTTTTTGGTTCCTTGCCGTGGGACGTTGAGGCCAAGCTCTGAGGCCTGAGCCTAGGTTTAGGGTTTAGGGCTTAGGGTTTTTAGGGTTTGGGGTTTAGGGATTAGGGTTTAGGGTTTAGGGCTTAGGGTGTAGGAGTTCAGGGTTTAGAGTTTAGGGTCTGATTTCCAAAGGTTCCGACTGTCTAAAATGCCGAAGAGGTTTACATATGGGCTTCAAGGTGTGGGGCTTAGGAAGGTATATAATCTTTTGTGAACTCAGGGTGTCGCGCTGAAGCTTTTTGGGACAAGATAGGGCTTTGAGAATTCTGTTGTGGTGGCACCAGATGAAGAATTTGATGTGCACTAGTGCAGGAGTCGGGGTATCTCGGGATAATCGCTGATAGTATCCCCTTATCGTTCCTGATATGTTGGTGTTAGAATCTTCCCTGCACCCTTATTCAATATTCAAATTGTAAAGGCCCTCATATCAATCCACCGAAGTCGAGGTAAGTTTTCAAATCTTGACCAGCTAAACTTTCAGCTAAACTGCTATTTGCCCAAATTATAAACTTTCTAGAACCCTTATTATAGTGGCCCCTAAAGTAGCCCTGATGTAGTGTACCCTTTTTAGCCTTCTAGCTATGGAAAACCAGCTACCCGTAGGGTTTAGGGCCTACTTTGGAAGCCCCAAATCGAGGCCCATCGCTCGACAGCCCCCTTCATTCATTGCATCGCATCGGGCGACGCCTCGAGGTGCCCTGTTTAAGGTCGGCGGTGCAGAGTTTAGGGCAGGCATTGGAGTTCAGGGTTCGGGCTTTACAAGGTTTCTGATGGTGTTTGGGGTTTAGAGTTAAGGCGCCTTGTGAGGCTATGCTAAACAGCGAGCTGCACCGGATAGCGGGCACGAGTACACGCAAGGCAGATATCTTTCTACACGTACATTGCATAGACCTACACATGCACGGCTGTCTTGTAGATTGTACACTGCACGGACATCTGGTCACAAATGGCTATTCCGCATGTTGTCCTTTCTTCCCAGCCCGGACACCCTAAGCCCCAAATCCTAAACCCCCAAAAGCCCCAGAATTTGCCCCCTAAATCCCTTTAAGCCCCAAAACCATAAAGCCCCCCGAAAGCCCCCAGGGCTAAGCCCTTTAAGCCCCAAACCCTAGACCCCCCAGCAGGCCTCCCCAGACTTTGCCCGCCCTTCCGCCCTTCGAGGGGCGCCCATGCGGAGCAGCTTTGGAGTCCCTGAGCCGGAGCCTGGCAGCCGCAAAGCCCGGCGCCAGCCTGAGGCCTTCGGCGCGAAAGATGGGAGGATGCGGTCGGGATTCATAGTAGGGGGAGGTTTTTGGGGGGCGTTGTTGGGTTTATAGGGCTAGGGTAGAGGATGTAGGGTTCATAGGGGGATTTCGAGTTTTTTGGGGGTTTGAGGCATAGGATGTGTAAGGGTTTTGGGTGCTTGGGGCTTTTAGGGTCTAGGGTACAGGATGTGTCAGGGACATTTTGGGTTGAGGCTTTCCGAGGTTTTCAAAGCTAAACCACAGGACTCATCAGTTTTGCACTTCCTGCACGAGGAACGAAGGTTATGAAGCTCTGGTATGGAGGGTGGTCCTAAGCCATATGTAGCCCGGCTAAGCCCTGAACAGCAGCATGAACAGAAAAACTGGTGTGACAATGCTGGATCCCCCAAGAAATAGTCCTAAATTTTCAGTCCATGAAGCCTCTAGCTCTAGACCCTAAACCCCAAAACCCAAAGGCCAAAACCTCTAAAGCCCCCAACGCCCTAAAACCCTAATTTCCCAGCCCCAAAGCCCAAGCAAGTCCCAGCCTTTCGCGAGATAGGAACCAGGCCCAGGACTAGGGGCCTGTCTAGGGGCCTCTCCTAGACGAGTATTCAGGATATTATTCTAGGGGGTTGAAGAAGGAGTAACACTGTTCTTGGGGCTCTTGTTGACTTATTCTTGAGGTTCTTGTTGACAATACTATGACAGACCCAAAAACCCCCTAAACCCGACACCGAAAACCCTTCTCATTATTCGGGCTCTCAGGTGGCTGTAGGGCTCACCGGGTTTGTCAGGTGATCGGAGACTCAACTTCAAGGGTTCAGGATCCAGGGTTTAGGGCCCATCGCACAAACAAGTTGAAGAGCTTCATTTGAGCCTGGAGTTCAGCATGCTTCTGTCATCATTAGGGCTTGCGGGACGACATTTAAAGTTGTGTGGCTTATCATGGGAGCCTCGATCGGTGGCATTTTGGTGGAGCTCTTCTCAAGCCAACAGCA